AAGGGAAGGGAAGGGAAGGGAGAAGAAAAAAGGGGAAAGAAGGGAGGGAAAAGGGGAAAAGAAAAGGGAGGGAGGGAGGGAAGGAAGGAGGGAAGGAAGGAAGGAAGGAAGGAAGGAAGGAAGGAAGGAAGGAAGGAAGGAAGGAAGGAAGGAAGGAGCAGTTCCTCCTCCAGGGGCACATTCCCACATCCTGAGGTTTTGCTGGATTTAACAGGAGGCCCAGATGGGACACTGGGAATTCCTCCCTGGCAGGGGCTGGGATGGAATTCCCAGAGAATCCGTGGCTGCCCCATCCCTGGGATAGGGAAAAGGGGTGGGACTGGGGGAGTTTTGATGTTTCTCCCATCCCAAACCATTCCATGATTTTTTTTTTTGGCAGGAAGCAGCAATGGAAGGTGAGCACAGTTCAGGCTAAAATTCCACATGCATCCCAAAAAAAACCCAGGCCAAGAGAGCAGCATCCATCCAAGGGGAAAGCAGCCGGATTTTTATCCTGAGGGCAGCTCCAATCCTTTATTCTTAACTAAAATTCCTTTATCCCCTCCAAAAAAAACCCAAATAAACCTTGGATTAAACCCCACTCGGAGCCAAGGGGGGGCTGCAATTCCAGTCTCTCCCTGGAATGTGACAAAATTCCACCTTCCTTCCTTGTCCCTCTTCCCAGCTCCAGAAAAAACCTGAATTTTGGGATCAAAGCAGCAGCTCAGGGGCTCCAAACAAATGCCTCAATCCTGTGGAGAAGCTGCAGCTCCGGGGCAGGAATTATTCTCCTCCAAATGCAGCCTGGTGGAATAAGGAATTCCCAGTGGAATTCCCAGCTGGATGTGCTGCCAAGACCTGCACCCCCAACTGTGCCACTTCCAGCAAGGAAAAATCCCAATTTTCATTTTAAAGCAGATTTTAGAGGCAGCGAATTCTTCCGAATTTAAAAATCGGATTTAAAAACTCTCCAAAATTCCCAATATCCAGCTTTTTTTTTCAGGAATACTGCAGGAAATTCCCTGGTTTTTTTTCTTTATTCCAGCAGGTTTTTTTTAATCCTGATAATCATGAAAATCAACCCTGGGGTGTTTTAGGGGATGAACAAAGTGAAAACGAAGAGGGGAAAACATGGATTGTGCTCCAAGGTGGGAATTCTGAGTGAAACTTGTTTTTTAAGGAATAAATCTCCAGGAACTGGGAATTTCTTCCTAAAACACCCCCAAAATTCCAGAGATTCCCAGGGAACAACCACAGGTGGAGCAGAATCCTGGGGGCGTCACCTCCAAAGGGAGGTGGCAGCAGGATTTTAATTAAATCCCAAAAATCCTTCATCTCATTCCTTGGGAATCCCTGGAAAAATCCCGTTTATTCCTCCAGGCAATCCTAATTTTGGGATAATTTTCCCAAAATTTCCCAGCTCCTGCCAGGAATTCCAGTTTTTGGATGGAATTCCCTGCTCCAAAACCCACGGAATGACAACCACAGCTTCTCACTGCTGAGAAATTCAATTGAAAATTGGATTTTTAAGCCGTTTTTTCCCCAAATTTTCCCCAGATTTATCTTGCAAATCTCTTTATTACAACGCACAGATTAGTCCTGAATAGTTTCTTATGTACAGAAATAGAATTTTTAGGTAGAAAAAACCCAACAAAGCGGCCACGAATCAAGGAAAATCCATAGAAAGCCAAATCCAAACTCTTCCCGAAATGATACAAAAATAAAAATCTGCAGATCACAGTTTTGATTTAAATCCCTCCAAGTTTTGCTTCCCAAATATTTTTTTTTTAAAGGAATTTTAGAGGGAAAAAGGGAGTTCTGAGGTGTTCAGGGATGGGTTTGGTGGTAATTCCATTCAATTTGCTGCTGGAATAGCTGGAAAAAAGGAGGTTGGAGAAGTGGGAAAAGCTCATCCATGGGAATTTTGATTTAAAAAAATCTCATTTTTCCAAAGTTTCAACCCTTTGGAAGAAGCTGTTCCTTCTTTAAATCCCATTTGTCCAAGCAGCTGTGGATTCCCAGCGCTCCCAAGGTTCTCCTGAGCACCAAAAAAAATCCGAGTTGTCCATAAAGAACTGAAGCAGCACAATCCCAAAATTCCAGGGACTGGGAGATTCCTGGGAAAAACCAGCTGGGAGATCCATGGAAAAATGGATGTAGTGTGTTTTCCTTGGAATGATCATAAATCCACACGTTTTCCTTCTTGCAATTCCATTTTTTGGGTTTTTTTTTTTTTGGTCGGTTTTCCACCCCTGAATTAAAAAGCAAATCCAATGTGAGTAAAATCCTCAAAAATTCCAAGTGGATTTCTCAGGATTTGAGGGGTTGATGCAAATTTTTAGTTATTTTTGGAGGGAAAAAATCCAATTTTTGGGAGGGCAAACAGGTGGAATTTGAATTAAAACAACTCTAATTTAATGAATCCCCTGAATTTTCTAATTGCACCACAAAAAGGGGATTTTTCAACCCAGAGAAGCCACTTCCTGCAATAAAAATAAAAGATAAATCCAAAAATTCTGGTTTTTTTCAAGTCAGGATAAAGCAGGAATAAAGAATTTTCTTCCAAATTAAAAACTGAAGGAATTAAGGATAAATTTAAAGCACTTAAAGGTTTTTCTTCTACAGAATGGAAATTATTCTGGCCAGCTGAACAAATAATTGATTTATTGACCCAGCTCTGTGCAAACACTGGAATTTTTCCATTTTTGTTCCCTGCTTGGAAAATTCCCACACCAACCTCCAGCTCCAAACCCCTTTTTCCCTCAATGATTTTGATTAAATAATGTAATATTTAAAATTAAGAATATAAATAAAGAGTTTTGTCCTCTCACTGAAATGTTTTTGGTGACCCCAGTGCAGACACAAAGAGTTAATACTGATTTTTGGGAAAGAAAACGGGGAATTGTTGCCTTTATATTTCCTTAAATCCAAGATAATTTCCTTAAATCCAAGAAAATTATCAGGACAAGCAGATTGGATATAAAAATTCACTTCAATCCCTCTCCCAAAGCAGAATTACAGCAAAGATTCATTAAATAATTCAGGAATTTTCCTCCCTAAATTCAAGCATCATCCACAGCCTCATTAAGCTTTAATTATTAATTAGGATGAGGAATTTCCTTGTCCTAAGAACCAAGGAATTTGTTGGGACAAGCAGCCAGAACCTTTCGGAATAATTCTGGAAAAGGGAATTATTTAAATCAATCAAACCAAACCTCAAAAAGCTCCAGAAGCACTCAAACATTGGATTATTCCAGAAAAAAAAAAAAAAAAAAAAAAAAAAAAACACAAAAAAAAAAAAAAAAAAAAAAAAAAAAAGTGGGAAAAAAATCCCTTAAATTAAGGGATTTTTAAAAATGAGGCTTTTGGAGAAGCTGGAAAAAAAGGAGAAACACCAAAAAACCCAAAACAAAACAAAAAAAACCCACAAAAAAAACCCCCCAACAACACAAAAAACAAACAAACAAACAAACAAAACAAAACAAAAAAAAAACCAAAAAAACCCAAAAACAAATTAAAACCCTCACCCGCACATCCCTCAGGGAATTTTAAATCAAAACTGCAATTCCAGGGAATGAACCCTATAAATATTTCCTTCAAAATAGGTTTTGCTTTGTTTTCTTTTTTTGTTTTTCCAAAGTGCAAAAATCCAACGCAACAGTCCCCACACTTCCCAAGGTACGGCAGGAAAAGGCATTTTTTGGGGAATGGATTGAACCCAAAGTGCTAATTAACAGGAATGCAATTAAAACACCTCATTCAGGGAGCTCCAGGGGGTTTTATCTGGATATCAAAAGGAGAATTTGTTGAATATCAAAGTGGGGGGGAAAAAAATAAGGGACAAAAATAAAATCCCATTTTTTTCTCTCCCCATTTCAGCACATGCAGCTGCCACTGGTGGTTGAGATTTCATTAATTTAAGGGTCAGGCAAATTCCAGGAGTTTGAAGGTGCTAGAAGGGGGTCAGTCCTCTGGGAATGGAATTTTTGGAGCCTGTGGAATACCCTCAGTCTGTGCTCCGGGCTCAGGCAGTAGCCAATGGCCTCCTCGGTCTCCTGGATGCGTTTTTGGAACCTGCATCCATCCCGAGCCATCTCCTCCCACGGCCCCTTCCGGTCCTCCTCGCTGCTGATGTAATACTCAGTCACCTCCTCATGGAATGTCACCTGGAAAAAAGAAAGGTTTCCATCAGGAATTCTCATCAAACCACGCTGTGTCAGAACTCAAAACGTCCCTCAGACATTTTTGGAGGTTCCAGGCCCAGGTCAGAAGCATTTGAGACCCTGGCACAGCTGCAAACAGCTGTGATTTTGGGTTTGAGCCATGGAATGAGTTACCAACCTTGCAGGAAGAACAAGAAGTCACAAAAGTTTAGATATTAGAGTAGAAGTAGTCACAAAGTAAAGGGAAGAATTTTTGAGTGCTGTACAGGGGGTTTTGGTTTTGTACATGGGGGTCAGAGGGTTTAAGATGGATTTGGGATCTGGGCCTGCCCTGTCC